TAAGAAACATGAAATGTACAGCATAGAGGATACAGTCAATAATATTGTAATGACTTTTTATGGTGACAGATGATAACTACACTTATGGTGTTTCATGATGTATGTGTCAAATCACTGCGTTGTATATCTAAAACTAATATATTACATGTCAACTATACCTCAATTAAAAAAATAAAATGTAAGAAATGTATTTTAAGGGGTAATAAATGGGAGCGCCTGGGTGCCTCAGTTGGTTAAGTGTCTGACTCTTGATTTCAGCTCAGGTCATGATCTCACTTCATGGTTTGTAGATTCAAGCCCTGTGTCAGGCTCTGTGCTGACAGCACAGAACCTGCTTGGGGCACCCTTCCCCTGCTCTCTCTCAAAATACATAAATAGTAAGTGTAATTTTATTGAGAAACTTTACATTTATATCTAGAAACTTATTCTGGAAGGAAAACCAGAATTGGTTAGTGGTACACAGCAGACAGCCTGGAACACCTCTAACATCTACATACCGGTAAATTTTTAGAAACATATATGTATTAAATGTGATTATCAATTTGTAGAGAAAATAGATAATGGAATAAAATATTAAGATGGACTGCAAATGAGAAGGAAAAAAATCTCAATTTATATCTCAGGTCAAATAGAAAATTAACTGCACCAAGCCTAACATGAAAACAAAAAGCCTAAGATTATTTAAAAATTTTTAAACAAAACTGCACTTGAAATGTCCAAGTCATGGGGCGCCTGGGTGGCTCAGTCGGTTAAATGCCCAACTTCAGCTCAGGTCGTGAGCTCACTGTTTGTGAGTTCAAGTCGCTCTTCATGACCTGTGCTAATAGCTCAGAGCCTGGAGCCTGCTTTGGATTCTGTGTCTCCTTCTCTCTCCCCCCACCCCCTCAAAAATAAACATTAAATTTGACAATAAACTATTTGTAAAAAAAAAAAAAAAAAAAAAACATTAAAACAATTTTTTAAATGTCCAAGTCATTACAAAACAAGATCTCAATTTAAAACCACAAAATATGCCTTTTACTTTTTAAAAATATATATGCAAAATACAACTAAAAATCACAAAAATAACAATAAAAAAAGAACTGATATTTTCAGTATCCACACAAGCCATAAAATATTAGGCACAATTTTAAAACAAGCAATTTTTGTGAAAACTATCCAATATATGGATACACACACACTCACACACACCCATACAATATATTAATTTGTGAAAAATTTTGACTTAAAAACTTCCCTTTAATCCATTCAGAGCTAAAGTGGACTGAAATTTTTAAATGTTTCCAAAAAAATCCTAATTGTAGAAAACTTTTATATTATTACTTATTACTACATCACTTACACATTTTATCAGCCACATTTCACTGAATTTTTAAAAAATTTATTTGGGAGTTTTCCAGTGTACTCAAATAAATATTCATTAAAATAATGCTTTTTGAGGGGCGCCTGGGTGGCTCAGTCGGTTAAGCATCTGACTTCGGTTCAGGTCATGATCTTGCAGTTCGTGGGTTCAGGCCCCGCATCAGGTTCTGTGCTGGCAGCTCAGAGCCTGGAGCCTGTTTCGGATTCTGTTTTTCCTTCTCTGCCCCTTCCTCGCTCAGGCTCTGTCTCTGTCTCAAAAATAAATAAAAACTATAAAAAATTTAAAAAAGTAAAATAAAATAAGAATGCTTTTTGAAAAAAATGCTTTTTGGTAGTCATCTGTTGTTTACATATTAATTTAAATTTTAAATAAATAAAACCTGCACTGAATTTTTAAAAGAAAAAAAAAGATCTTTAATGAACTCAAAATGTTAACTATGTGTAAAGAATCTCTGGCATGAGGAATAACACAACTTAATAGTACTCATTTTGCATTTAAGCATCATAAATTTGTTTTGAGAGGGCGTGAGAAGAATTAATTCAGCAGTTAGGGTAAGTAGAGGTCCGTAAGAAGAGATCTCCCAGTATATATGAAAATGAATCAAAATATTTCTTTGATAGTCCACCAACTGACTGGCATGCTCTTGGCTGCAGTTACAGAGTGACTCAGAAGAGAAAATAAACTAGGTCATATATAGATGGATTGGGCAAAAGTCCACAGTAAATATGTTGATTTATGTGGCACTCTATAGAACAAAGAAAACTAGGCTATTACTAATGCAATATAAATCCCAATAAGTCAGAGTTAACACAGTGAGAGACTTGTGAAAAAGGAAAATCACGTATTTATATTAAAAACTTGATATAAAAACATCATGTGCAGTAAGCTCAAAATCCTATGGGATTCCAGCATGATTTAGTTCTCAGTGTTTTGTTAACTTTTATTGATGCTCCCAGGGGTCCAGGTAATCTCCATCATCCCCTCTATGTCATAGTCAGCAAACAGGATCAGGGGTCCCTAGCTAGTTGCTCAGATATTCTCAGGTAGGAAATTGACACCAAGACCTTGGTATTGCACAGACCCTCCTCTCTACAGTTGGGTTTTCAGGACTGACCTGGATCAGGGGCTTCTGAGAAGCCCTATTTCTTTCCAGCACACATTTGGGAGCACAGGGGTCTGGTGGTAACTGAGAGAGCTACCAGTGCCTGGCTCTAAGATGCCCCCACAGGTGGAATGGACAGGAATGGACACCTCAGCTCTTCACATCTTCCAGGGAACCAGGGGTAGGGCAGCTCCTAATCTCCATTTTACATAGGAGCAAACTGAGGCCCCCAATGGGGGCATTTGCCTGTGGGTCCTTACTGTGGCCAGGAATCCAAGAATTAAACATAGGCAGCCTGGACCGGACCTAGGGAATGTGATCAATGACCTCTACATCATCAACCCCTGGCCAGGTTTTTGGACTCAAAGTCCAGGCCAGCCATTCCTAATCCAACCTTATCCCCCATCGGCTCTAACCCACCAGCCCCAATGGTGATAGCAGGAAAATGGGTAACCACTACAAAGCAAGGCTTTATTGTATTCCTCAATGACTGGACTTAAGAATGTTATGGAGAATATGTTAATAATGCAGAAAAAATTTATTGTTTTTAAATATTTTTATTTATTTCTAGGGGAGAGAGAGAGACAGCGTGAGCAGGGGAGGGTCAGAGAGAGGGAGACACAGACTCTGAAAAAGGCTCCAGGCTCTGAGCTGGCAGTCAGCACAGAGTCAGACGCGAGGCTCAAACCCACGAACCGCGAGATCATGACCTAAGCGAAAGTCGGATGCTTAACCGACTAAGCCACCCAGGCGCCCCAATAATGCAGAAAAAATTTAAAAGGGTACAGCATAACTGTGCATCCCATTGTGAATAGCACGCACACGCACACATACACACACACACAGTTTCACTGTCCTGTTTCTTAAAGGAAGATAGCCAAAACTCAAAGAATAGGAAAAAGATATGTGCAGACATGTTACCAAAGATGTAGATAGCAAATGAACATTGGAAAAAAATGCCCATTGTGAATCCTTACAGAAATGCATTTAAACAGAAAGCGAGATAACATTAAAAACTTATTAAAAGGACTAAAATTAAAATGATTGGCCAAACGGAGGAAATGGAACTCTGAGACACTGCCAGGAAGATGCAAAATGTATAATCAAAAGTAAAACATTTACCTACCCTGTAACCCAGACATTACACTCTAAGTTACTGACAGAAGATGAAAGAAACATACATTCACATAAAGAACACGGTTTATACTAGCCTTATCGTCAGTAGTCAAAATCTAGAAAAAAATCAAATCCTCACACACTGAAACATGGATAAACTGGTATATCCCAAAACAGTACTCAGCAAAAAACAAAACCCACTATTCATATAGTATCATTGATGAATCCAAAGTAATTGTAACACATAAAGTAAAAATTCCAAGCATAAACTCAAAAAATTCAAAGATATCCATCCATCTATTGTAACAGAAAGTAAACAGTTACCTGGTGAGGTGGGAGTGGCAAGGAAGATTATAGAATGTCTGTTTTTGGAAAACAGGTTTAGCAACCCCACACTGACTCCATCTCTCTTCCCCACTACTACAGGGGGATCACCTCAGTGACAGCAAACGTGGAGAACAGTGAAGAGTATTTCCATACAAGGCAACAGGAATGCTTTCACATCCCAGAAATATAGATCCTTCTTCCTTTTTTTTTCCTTTTCCTGTCTGTGTGGTAACAGCTTTGAGGCAAACATCACAGAATCCACAAGACCTTTTGATTATTTTATTTTTTTCTGACAATGACTTTAGCTACATAAGGTAAATGTGCCCGGAGGTCCTGAGAATTGTGTACACATTGATCCTGAAGTCATAGTCACAGAAACTTTTCTGGACACATTTTTAGAAGAGGCACATTCCGTCTACTTGGCTGCAGTTTCCTCCACTCTCTATTAAGCCAGTGTCCCTGCACAAATCATGGTTTCTCCAGACACCTGTGGTCTTACAACCAGTAACCTTGGCCCAATGGATTGTGGACATCAGGGCATGTGGCTGTTTGCAGAGCTGGGGAAGAAAACACCTCAACAGTACTGACACCCCCTGTGATAGCTCCTCTGAGAAAGGGAAAAACCATGCTGCTTTCAAAGGCATCTGAGAGTCTCACATCTGTCCCTTGCCTGGGGGCATCACCGAGACTCCGAAAACAAAGCATCCAGACCTCAAATGAAAACCAGAAAGCCCTGCAGTTTTTCAGAGGTTGTGGGTCAGTGATGCAAATTTGGTCAAAGCTGGCACGCTATTTTCTGCCATCATCCTCTCGGTCCTCAGGCATGGACAATTTGAGACTTCTAAAAAGTTCACCCTCTGATGGCTGTTGAGCCCAAATCTATTTATAAACTTCCCCACAGAGTAAGTAGAACATCCAAGGTTAAAGAGGACTTAAAAAGTAAGGCCTCGAGGTCACCTGGGCGGCTCAGTTGGTTAAGCATCCGACTTTGGCTCAGGTCGTGATCTCAGAGTTTGTGGGTTCAAGCCCCACATTGGGCTCTGTGCCGACAGCTCAGAGCCTGGAGCCTGCTTCACATTCTGTGTCTCCCTCTCTTGGCCCTTCTCCTGCTCATGTGCTAGCTCTCTCAAAAATAAACATTAAAAAAAAAAGTAAGGCCTTGATTATCGGATAAGCCAAAGCAATGCGCAGCAGACCGTTCTCAAGTTTGTAACTTGGAATCTGGAAAAACATCACACAAGTATCACAAGAAACCATCATGTCCCTGAAAAAAGTAGTCATTCTCTATAAGCTGCCAGCCAAACTCATATTCTCTGGGTCATCAATGATTCAGGTTCATGCCCAAGGTAGTCAAGGAGATGGGGAAGCTGACCTTCAGGGTTACTCCTAATTTGATCCAATTCACAAGAGAACAAAGGTCAGCATCCCTGAACACACTGTGGTGGGAATCTGATGCACACTTTCGTGGACCTGCCAGGTGGCAGAGGTGAAAAGGCTTTGAACACAAGACCTAGCCATGACCTATATCTGGAAAGAGCCCTGGACAGTATGGAAAGTGCAACATATTTACACAGCTTACTACATCACTGAAACTTACAAGGGACCTCCCCACTGTGCATGTTTACATGTCTGAGATTCAGTCCAGATAGAGAACTCCTCAGAGCTCCCTCCAGTATTGTTACAGTGGATAGGAAATTGCACATTCCCTGCACACCTAAGGCCTTTCTCTAGTGTGAACTCTCTGATGTTGAGAGAGTGTAGATTTTCGTGTAAAAAATTTCCCACATTCACTGCACTCATAAGGCCTTTCTCCAGTGTGACCTCTCCGGTGTTGACTGAATTGGGAACTGTCCCTGAAGGATTTTCCACATTCGCTGCACTCGTAAGGCCTTTCTCCAGTGTGAACTCTCTGATGATAACGTAGCTTGGAGCTAGAGATAAAAGATTTCCCACATTCACTACACCCATAAGGCCTGTCTCCTGCATGAACTCTCTGATGGTAACGGAGGGTGGAACTCGAAGTAAAAGATTTCCCGCATTCACTGCATTCATAAGGCCTTTTACCTGCATGAACTCTCTGATGATAAGAGAGGGTAGCACTACTGGTAAAAGATTTCCCACACTCACTGCACACATAAGGTCTTTCTCCTGTGTGAACTCTCTGGTGTCGAATCAGTATGGAGCTGTTGGTAAAAGACTTCCCACATTCACTGCACTGATAAGGCTTTTCTCCTTTATGAACTCTATGATGATAACCAAGGCCAGAGATAGATGTAAAAGACTTCCCACAAGCACTACACTCATAAGATCGTTCACTGTTGTGAATTCTCTGGTGTATTGACAGGGAAGATTTTTGGCTAAAAGTCTTCCCACATTCACTGCACTCATAAGGCCTTTCTCCCGTGTGAGTTCTCCGGTGTTTATTGAATTGTGATCTATCCTTAAAGGATTTCCCACATTCACTGCACTCATAAGGCCTTTCTCCACTATGCACTCGGTGATGATAACGAAGGCTGGCACTAAAGGTAAAAGATTTCCCACATTCACTGCACTTGTAAGGCCTCTCTCCTGTGTGAACTCTCTGATGGTAACGCAGGGTAGAACTGGAGGTAAAAGATTTCCCACATTCACTGCACTCATATGGCCTTTTACCTTCATGAACTCTTTGATGGTAACAGAGTGTAGAGCTACAGGTAAAAGATTTCCCACATTCATTGCACACATACGGTTTTTCTCCTGTGTGAACTCTCTGGTGTTGAATCAGAGTCCACCGATTATTAAAAGATTTCCCACATTCGCTACACTTGTAAGGCCTTTCTCCTGTGTGAACTCTCTGATGTAAAATGAGGTTATTTCTTCGGATAAAGGATTTCCCACATTCACTACACTCGTAAGGCCTTTCTCCAGAATGAACTCTATGATGATAATGGAGGTCAGACCTAGAAATAAAAGATTTCCCACATTCGTTGCACTCATAAGGCCTTTCTCCAGTGTGAACTCTCTGGTGATAACGGAGCGCAGAACTAGTAGTAAAAGATCTCCCACATTCATTGCACTCATAAGGCCTCTCTCCGAGGTGACCTCGGTGATGATACTGGAGGGTGGAGCTACAGGTAAAAGATTTCCCACATTTATTGCACACATAAGGCTTCTCTCCTGTGTGAATTCTCCGGTGTCGAATGAGTGTCCACCTATTGTTAAAAGATTTCCCACATTCACTACACTCATAAGGTCTTTCTCCTGTGTGAACTCTGTGGTGGTAACGCAGGCTGGAGCTAAAAGTAAAAGATTTCCCACATTCACTACACTCATAAGGTCTTTCACCGGAGTGAACTCTTAGGTGTATAATGAGGTTATTTCTTCGAGTAAAGGACTTGCCACATTCACTGCACTCATAAGGCCTCTCTCCGGTGTGAACTCTGTGATGATAACGGAGAGCAGTACGAGTGATAAAGGATTTCCCACACTCACTGCACTCATAAGGCCTCTCTCCAGAATGAACTCTCTGATGATAACGGAGGTCAGACCTAGAGATAAAAGACTTCCCACATTCACTGCACTCATAGGGCCTTTCCCCTGTGTGAGATCTCTGATGATAACTGAGGGCAGAAATAGAGGTAAAAGATTTTGCACAGTCACCACACTTATAAGGCCTTTCTCCAGTTTGAACTCTACATGGAATTAGCACTGGGCTCTGACTAAAAGATTCTGCACATTCACCACACACATAACTGTTTTCTCCACTGTGCCATCGCTGGGGATGAATGAGGACGGATTTGTGGCTTAAGGATTTCCCACATTTGCTGCACTTGTATTGCCTGGATCCAGAGTGAGTCTTTCCATGTTGACTGAGGGTTGAACTTTGCCGAAGGGATTTTCCACATTCACCAAACTCATGATGTCTTTTCCCAGTATGGAATCTCTGATGGATAGCAAATGAAGATCTGTACCTGAATGTTTTCCCACATTCACTGCACACAAAACACTGGTCCTGAGAAAGTGTGTGTTTGGGACCAAAGGCTTTCTTGCAATCTCCCCACGTGTAATGACTTTTTCTGCTCTGTAAAGTTACCCTGCACTGGCTGATTCTGTTTGGCTTTTCCCCAGTATAAGTGGCACCTTGCTGCACATGCCCCAAGCCGAGCAGGAAGTCTTTCTCAATTTCTCCACAGGTAAAGGGCTTTCCTGAATCGTGGAATCCACAGCTCTTCACAAAAGAGGCCGTGTCCACACTGCTTCTGAATGGTTTCTCTCTCATGTGCTGCTCCAGCTGCTGCTCAAAGTTTACAATGAAAGAAAATCGCTTTGCGCATGCCCCACACCGCAACAGTTTCTGGCTGCTTGGTTTTCCCTGGTGCTCAGCCAAACGGAAAATGTCTCTCAAGACCGGACCACACATCTCACAGGGGTGGCTCTTCCGGGAAGACAGAGCTGCCTTGGAAGCGCTGGCCTGTGACACACCTAAAGAAACGATCTGTTCAAAGGGTGAGTCAGCATCCTCTGCTCCACAGCAGCAACCTGAACGCAAAGAAACTCTGATGAAATACATGGTGACTACCATGAGGGGGTAAGCCCATTACACATAAGCACCTGTCTCATGTATGTATGAGTTTATGGGAAGCTTTTTAAGACACAGGAGTCAGAAATCAGTTGAAGGAACAGCCACTATGCATTCCTGGGACCCTAAGGTCACAGACTGCTGGATAACCCAACAGGGAAGGATACAAAGACAGCATAGGAGACAAGGAAGAGAGGTGAGGACAAGTCATTTCTCTGCCAATGGTTTCTGGAAGGACCTTTGCCACTGCTGATGAAAGGCTGAGTAGAAGCATGTATCCAAGCCCATTAAAATAACTCATGGCTAATGCTGGAGCACACAGAATAGTGACAGAAATCGGTAAGGTGTCCAGAGAGATGATGACCACGCTGCACTGGAAGTCATAGTAGAAATGACGAGAAATTGGCAAAGTGTCAAACTGGAGAAGAAAAAAGGTAGAAATGAAGTACAGCCAGTGGAAATGGCGTGAAAAGTGGAGGTGAATAAAAACAGGTTCCTGGTGTAATCTGAACACATCCCTGATGGCACACTCTCACTGGCCATTCACTAGGACTGGCCCCCATCCTTCCCCCACCAAGTCCACTTTGCCACATCTGGAGTCATGTCCATCCCGTGATACACAAGGATTCTTGCCAGTGAGTCCTGAGCAACTACATGGGACATGAATGATATAAGTTCTAAGAAAAAAACAGGGCAAATGAATAGCCAGCCCTGTCCCAGGGCTATCCAGCACACAAGAGACCTAGAAAAGACAGGAAGGTTAGATGATGTCAGCATGACAGCAGAGGAAACCAGCCTTTGACCTTAACAGGCTTAGGAGTCCAATTAAGAGGGGTGCCTGGCTATCAACAATAGCCAAATTATGGAAAGAACCCAAATGTCCTTTGACTAATGAATGGATAAAGATGATGTGGCATGTGTATACATACACACACACAATGGAGTATTACTCACTGAAAAGAATGAAATCTTGCCATTTGCAATGACGTGCTAAGTGAAATAAGTCAGTCAAAGAAAGACAAATATCCTATGATTTCATTCATATGTAGAGTTTAAGAAACAAAACAGAATAACATAGGGGAAGGGAAGGAAAAATAAGATAAAAACAGAGTGGAAGGCAACCATAAGAGACTCTTAAACACAGAGAGCAAACTGAGGGTTGCTGGAGGGGATGTGAGTGGAGGATGGGCTAAATGGGTGCCAGGCATTCAGGAGGACACTTGTTGGGATGAGCACTGGGTGTTATATGTAAGTGATAAATCACTAAATTCTACTCCTAAAACCATTATTACAGTGTATGTTAGCAAACTTTCACTTAAATAAAAAATTTTTTTAATTAAAAAAAGCTTTTTTAACGTTTATTCATTTTTGAGACAGAGAGAGACAGAGCATGAGCAGCGGAGGGGCAGAGAGAGACACACACACAGAATCTGAAGCAGGCTTCAGGCTCCGAGCCGTCAACACAGAGCCCGACACGGGGCGTGAACTCACGAACCGTGAGATCGTGACCTAAGCCGAAGTCGGACACTTAATCGACTGAGCCACCCAGGCGCCCCTAAGAAAATGTTTAAAAAGAGGGGCACCTGGATGGCTCAGCTGGTTAGGCATCTGACTCCTGATTTTGGCAAGGTCATAATCTCACAGTTGATGGGACTGAGCCCCTCATTAGGCTCTGCACTGACAGGGTGGAGCTTACTAGGGATTTTCTCTTTACCTTTCTCTCTGCCCCTCCCCTTCTTGCTCTCTCCCTCTCTCTCTCTAACATTAAAAAAGTATATTTAGAGAAAGTCCAATTAAGACACGACAGTAACATAAGGGGGCACACAAAAAGCAGAATAACCACAGAAGGGATCAATGAGGACACTGGCTTAGTGGGGACACCCGGGGAGACAGAAAATATATGTCAGCCAAAGAGGTGATGCCACTGCATTCTGCAGTGGCTTCCTCTACAGAGGACCTCAGCAGCCTTTGCTGCACAGACCCTCAACAAGTCCCACTACAGCTGTGGACCATCACAGGTTACACAGCAGAGGTGTCCAGGTGTTTACAGGCACGGACCCCCGCTGTCTGCTCTGCAGAAGACCCTGGCACCTTTTGCACTAAGGTAACCGACAGCTAACACCACCATGGGGGACCTGCCAGGGAATAATACGCTGAGTTGCCCCCTCTGCCAAAAAAAGAGCTGTTGTTCCATCCCAGGAGCAGAGCTGGCATTCACATCAGCCACGCATACACCCTGGACCCCAGAGATGCAACTGCTCCATGGTTGCCTGTATTCCATAACCTGACTCCATGGCTGTTACCTGAGTGCCCAGGCCTCAAGTACCAAAGCCATGGCTGCTGTGGGCTAGCCAGCTCCTCAAAACCCAGACACAGCATCTGAGTGTACCCATGTTCCCGTCACAGGCTCCATCGATGCTCAGTGTCCAACTGCATCTCACACAGCAAAGTCAACACTGGACTATTCAGCATCTGGGACCTAGAACTGCTATTGCTCCGTGTCAATTCACACTCTAGAAACCAGACCTGTACCCACTCTGCGGGTGTCTGCACATCAGACACCAATGCTACCGCTACCACCACCACAAATACACCCAAGAGCTGGACTGGGCATCAAAATGGGAACCCCACAGCCAAAACATTTCCTGCAGGAGGAGATTCTCTACTACTGTGGACACAAAAGCCTTAGCGACTGAGGACTCCTGCAGTCTTTGCTAACACTGATCTCAGATGACAGAGCTGCAGACACCAAGCCTCTTGGCCATCTTGTAGTGGAAACTGCCATACCCCACCAAGCTGGTACACTCATATTCACACACAGGTACAGATCCTCCCCACTAAAACCTTCTGTAAAGTCTGGAAGTGACTACTCCATGAAATGCAGAGACGTCAATGCAAGGCTAAAAGAAACAAAAAAAATCAAAGCAACAGAACACCCTCAAAGGAACACAGTAATTTATCAGTAACCTCAAAGAAATGCAGATCTATGAACTGTCAAAGAATTCAAAATAATTGTCTTAAGGAAGTTCAGTGAGCTACAAGAAAACACAGACAATTTAATGAAATAAGGAAAACAATTACAAACCAGATTTTCATCAGACAGATTAGAAAATACATAAAAGAACCAAATTATGATATACTATGTTGTACACCTAAAACAAATATAACACTATATATTAATTATACTGGAATTTAAATTTAATAATAAAAAAGTTATGGTGAAGAATACAATGAATGAAACAAAAAAATAGCATCAGCAGCCAACTTGATCAATCAAAAAAATGAATCTGAAACTGAAGACACATCTTTTGAAATTATTCAAATCAGAAAAAAGACAACGAAAGAATAAATAGAAAGTCTATACAGATCATAATACATCATCATAAAACAGTATTTGCATTATGGCGGTCCTAAAGGAGAAGACAGATAGGCAGGGACAGAAATCTGATTGAAACAGTAATAGATTCTAACGTAATGGATGAAAACTTCCCAGATCTGGGGAGAGACATGAACATATGGGTATATGATGCTTATGAGTCCTCAGAAAGATTCAAACCAAAGAGGATTTCACCAATACACATTACACGGGTTCCTGGCTGGTTCAGTCAGAAGAGCATGAGACTTTTGATCTTGGGGTCGTGAGTTTAAGCCTCAGGTTGGGTATAGGTTACTTAAAAATAAAATCTTAAAAAAAAAAAAAAAAAAGACACATTACAGTGGCCCTTTTGAACAGCATGGGTTTGAACTGTGCAGATTCATTTATAAGCATACTTCTTCCAATAAATACAGTAAAATATGGTATACATATTTACTCTTCCTTATGATTTTCGCATTTTCTTTTCTCTAGCTTACTTTAATGTAATAATACAGTAGATGTATAACATATAAAATATGAGTTAATTGACTTTATGTTATTAGTAGGCTTAGGTGAAGAGTAGGCTATTATTACCTAAGTTCTGGGGGGAGTCAAAAGTTATACATGGACTTTTTGCTGCATGGGGGTTGGCGCCCCTAATCGCTGTGTTGTTCAAAGGTCAACTATATGGGGCACCTGGGTGGCTTCAGTTGTTGAGTCTGACTTCAGGTTATGATCTCACAGTTTGTGAGTTCAAGTCCCACATCGCTGAGCTGGAGCCCCACTTTGAGTGATCATGAGCCCAGATGAGCCCCACATCTCTCTCCCCCACCCCTTGTGGGACTGTCTCTCTTTCTCTCTGCCCCTTGCTCACTTGTGCCTTCTCTCTCTCAAAAAAAAAAAAAAAAAACAACTATATAATAAAAATCAAAACGTAATGACAGAAAATTGGAAAGCTGTGGGAAAAGAAATTCATACAAGGGAACCCCCCCCCACATAAGGATAGGAGTAGTTTTCTTAGCTACAACACTGAACACTAGGAGTGGGATGGTGTGTTCTACAAATGCTGAAACAAAGAAACTGCAAAACAAAAATACTTTACCAGCCAAGATGTTCTTCAGAAATGAAGAAAAACTTTCCCAGACAAACAGAAGTTAAAGGAGTTCATCACCACTTGACCTACCCTACAAAAGGATGCTATGGCAGTTCTTCAAGCTGAAATGAAAGTATGTTAATTAGTAACATGAAAATATAGAATACACTGGTAAATGCAATTATATAATCATAGTCAAAATACAGGAGTCCCTCATCCATTTCACTTTCCATGGTTTCAGTTACCCATGGTCAACCAAGGTCCAAAAGCAAATGGGGGCGCCTAGGTAACATAGTCAGTTAAGTGTCCAACTCTTGATCTCGGTCGGCTCAGGTCATGATCTAACAGTTTGTGAGTTGAAGCTCTGCACTGGGCTCTGTGCTGATGGCACTGAGCCTGCTTGGGATTCCATCTCTCCTTCTTCTGCCCCTCCTTGCTTATGCTCTCTGTCTCTCAAAATAAATAAAATTTAAAAAACGCTGCAAAAGTAAATGAGTCTCCTTCATTACAAC